AGCTTACTGTAGTTGTTCTGATGAGTGTAGTCAATCCCAGTAGGCCTTTTGCAGTAAACACTGTCTTTTCATAGAAAACATAGAAACATAGAATGTGACAGCAAATAAGAATCATTCGGCCCATCTAGTCTACCCAATTTTCGAAATACTTTCATTAGTCCCTGGCCTTATCTTATAGCTAGGATAGCCTTATGCCCATCCCAGGCATGCTTAAACTCTTTCACTATGTTAACCGTTACCACTTCAGCTGGAAGGCTATTACCAGGGCCAGACTGGCCCACCGGGATGCCGGGCAATTTTCTGGTATGGGCACCTGGGGCCGAGCAGACACCTGGGTGTGCTGGCGGCCGCAGGGGGAACTGTGCTGTCTCTGCTCTGCTCCACCGCCCTTGCCAGCTACTTAATGAGAACAGGGCCGGATTATGACGTCATATTCCGGCCCCGGTCTCATTAAGCTGAGCGCTGGGGAGCAGAGCAGAGATAGCACAGCTCCCCCTGCGGCTGCCAGCACAGCTCCCCCTGCGACTGCCAGCACACCCAGCTGTATGCCCTCCACGACCCCTTGGCCAGTCGCCCACAGGTAGCAATAATGCGTGTCAGTCTTTCAGTGTGAGTGTATGTGTGTGTGTGTGTGTCAGTCTGTCAGTGTGTGTGTGTCTGTCTGTGTCATGGTATATGTGTATCTGTCTGTGTCATGGTGTGTGTGTTTGTCTGTGTCATGGTGTGTCTGTCATGGTGTGTGTGTGTCTGTCATCCTGTGTTTGTGTGTCTGTCAAGGTGTGTGTGTGTCTGTTATGGTATGTGTGTGTCTGTCAAGGTGTGTGTGCATGTCATGGTATGTGTATGTGTCATGGTGTGTGTCTGTCATGGTATGTGTTTGTAAAAAGGAAAATCCAGCGCACCCCCTTATCTACTAAACAGCTACTTTGGTGCTGACAGATTATTCTAGTTTTATTAAAAACACCTAATCCAGGCAATAAATAATGGGGGTTTAGTTACATTATATGATCATACATTGCATAAGCCTGCCACAACGTCAATGTACCCCACCTTTGACAGGTCCTACTCTAACAACTAACTGTCTACTAAATCAGCTACTCACTTGGGGAAATCCTTCAATCTCGAGTTCTCTGCAGTACAAGGCTAAATAGGGTCCTGAGATGAAGCACCTGTGACAGGGAGGGGTGCAAAACCAAGGAGCTGGCTAGACTCCTAAATATATATATGGGAAAATAAGGGGCTAGCTGCACTCACCTGAACATGCTTAAATGGGGTGCTGCTTGGGGCCAATAAGTACATTAAAAAGGAAAATCCAGCGCACTCCCTTATCTACTAAACAGCTACTTTGGTGCTGACAGATTTTGCTAGTTTTATGAAAAACACCTAATCTAGGCAAAAAATAATGGGGGTTTAGTTACATTATATGATCATAAATTGCATAAGCCTGCCACAACGTCAATGTACCCAGGGCCGGACTGGGAACTAAAAGCAGCCCTGGAAAAAAAATTCTATACCAGCCCAATAATGCGTCGCACCAGCATAGTGTGCTAATATAGAGGATGAAAAAATTACTTGAAATTGAAAACTCTTACTCCAATGAAAGAACGCATATATGGCTTCAAAATAAACAAAAGAGCGCCTTTATTTTAAGTAGACATACATTTGCATGTAATCAATGTTTCAGTATAACTACCTTGGCCTATTAAGGACATTTTAGTAATGGTACTGAAATGCTAAATGTCTGCAGTTGCACAACTAAAAAAAAATTGAAGTGAACTTGTTTATTTTGAAGTTCTATGGGTGCGCTCTTCACTTTGAATATGTTATTGAGCATGAGTATGCAACAAGCAACAAGACTGTACCAATACGTGCTCATTACATATATATATATATATATATATATATATATATATACAGTGGCGTACATACCAGGGTCGCAGGGGTCGCGGCTGCGACCGGGCCCGGCCCACCAGGGGGCCCGGCCTCCACTGCGACCCGGTATGTAGCCACAGGGCCAGCCTCTTCCCCTGGGGGGCCCAGGAGCCGGCCACGCCAGGGCCCCCCCCCCCGAGGCTGACCCTGCTGTCACCCGGAAGGTGGGTGGCCGGTCAGGCGGGCAGGCGGGCAGGCGGGCAGGCGGGCAGGCGGGCGAGGGAGCACTCAGTGCTTCCTCTTCAGTTCCCTCGCGCACCGCACTGATACCGGAGCCGGAAGATGACGTCATCTTCCGGCTTCGGCATCCCTACGCGGCGCGCAAGGGAGCTGAAGAGGAAGCACTGAGTGCTCCCTCACCCGCCTGCCCGCCTGCCCGCCTGCCCGCCTGCCCGCCCGACCGGCCACCCACCCAGGAGCCCAGCAGCACCACTGGACCCCAGTGAATCCCCCCAGCACTCCAATAGGTAAGGAGGCTGGGGGGATTACATTAAAAAAAAAAAAACTAGTGTTAGTGTTTGAGTGTGTGTGAGTGTTAGAGTGAGTGTTAGTGTGTGTGTCTGCTAGTGAGTGTTAGTGTGAGTGTTAGTGTGTGTGTCTGCTAGTGAGTGTTAGTGTGTGTGTTAGTGTGAGTGTGTGTGTCTGCTAGTGAGTGTTAGTGTGTGTGTTAGTGTGAGTGTTAGTGTGTGTGTCAGTGTTAGTGTGTGTGTCTGCTAGTGAGTGTCAGTGAGTGTGTTACTGTGTGTGTCTTACTGAGTGTGTGTTAGTGAGTCTGTTTGATGTATGTTAGTGAGTTTGTGTTTGTCAATGAGAGTGTATGTTGTGTAAGTGAGTGTGTATGTATGTCTGTCGCTGACTGTGTCTCTGTCAGTAAATGTGTGTGTCTGTTAGCTAGTGTGTATGCGTCTGTAAGTGAGAATGTGTGTGTCTTCAGCACTTACCTTTCTCCAGCGCCAGACTCCCTTGGCGCTGAGGATCCCTCAGCCTCTCAGCTCCGAATGCGACCGCGCACGCATTCAAACCGCCCATAGGAAAGCATTACTCAATGCTTTCCTATTGACGTTCAGTGTGCTCCTCTAGCGGCTGTCAGTGAGACAGCCACTAGAGGCTGGATTAACCCTCAGTGAAATAGCAGTTTCTCTGAAACTGCTATGTTTTCAGCTGCAGGGTTCAAACTAGAGGGACGTGACACCCAGACAACTTCATTGAGCTGATGTGATCTGGGTGTCTGTAGTGGTCCTTTAAAGGACCACTATAGTGCCAGGAAAACATACTCGTTTTCCTGGCACTATAGTGCCCTGTGGGTGCCCCCACCCTAAGGGACCCCCTACCGCCCGGCTCTGGAAAGGGGAAAAGGGGTAAAACTTACCTTTTTCCAGCTCTGGGTGGAGAGCTCTCCTACTCCGATCCTCCTCTTCTCCTCCCCGTCGGCTGTATGCGCACGCACGGCAAGAACTGCGCGCGCATTCAGCCGGTCACATAGGAAAGCATTCATAATGCTTTCCTATGGACGCTGGCGTGGTCTCACTGTGAAAATCACAGTGAGAGGACAGCCGCTAGAGGAAATAGGGGAAGGCTTAACCCATTCAGAAACATAGCAGTTTCTCTGAAACTGCTATGTTTATGAAAAAATGGGTTAACCCTAGCTGGACCTGGCACCCAGACCACTTCATTAAGCTGAAGTGGTCTGGGTGCCTACAGTGGTCCTTTAAGTGTGTGTGCATCTGCATGCACTGGCGTACATACCGCGGTCGCAGCCCTGTAACCTCTGCGACCAGGTGCCCACCGTCATGTGTTGCAGCCCGGCCCGCGCGCGGGGGGGGCCCACGGATCAATTTTCGCACCGGGGCCCCATGGGTCATGTGTACGCCACTGTATATATATATATATATATATATTAATGACATTTATGTGTGTATTATGCATATATAAATGTATGTTACTAATACACACATCAATATAAATGCATATATATATATATATATATAAATATGTGTATTACTGTCAGGATCACATCAATTTATGTCTTTTACCTTTACCTCGTTTAGTGTATCTTGTCTCCAATTGTCTCCTTTTTTTCTCTTACAGCTTTTTCTCTTGTGCATCTTTTATTTCATCCCAGTCCATGTGTGTTTCTTTTTACCCTTCTCCAGCCTCTGTATTTCTCTTTCCCCAGCCTCTTTTGTGTTGTTCTTAGCCCCAGCCACTTTGTCTCTTTCTCCTCTTCCAAACCTCATCTGTGTGTCTCTTTCTAACTCCAGACTCTCTGTGCCTCTTTCTCTTCTCCCAGCCACTCTCTGTCTCTTTTTCCCCAGCCCAGCGTTGCCTCCCACAAATCTTGTATCACTTTGTTTCCCTTCCCTATGTCTCTTTGTCTCTCTCTTCCCCCTCTCTTCCCCATCTCCTCCCAGTGTCTCTCTCTTACCCCATCTGTCTCTGTGTCCCCCCTTCTCCTGTGTCTATCTATTACCCCTCTCTTTGTCCCCCCAATTACCCCTCTGTCTATTACCCCTCTGTCTATTACCCCTCTGTCTCTTTGTCCCCCCCACCTGGTGTCTCTCTATTACCCCTCAGTCTCTGTGTGTCCCCTTCCCCTGTGTTTCTATTACCCCTCTACTGTCCCCCCTTTCCCCTCTTTTTGTCCTCCCCTTCCCCCTCTCTTGGTTCCCCCATCCCCTGTCTTTTTATTACCCCATCTGTCTATGTGTCCCCCCTTGCCCTATGTCTATTACCCCTCTGTCTCTTTGTCCCCCCTAACCTGGTGTCTCTCTATTACCCCTCAGTCTCTGTGTCCCCCCTTCCCCGTGTTTCTATTACCCCTCTTTTTGTCCCCCTTCTACTCTTTTGTGTCCCCCCTTCCCCTTCCTCTCTTTTTGTGCCCCCCTTCCCCTTCCTCTCTTTTTGTCCCCCCTTCCCTTCTTTTTGTGTCTCCCCTTCCCTTCTTTTTGTGTCCTCCATTCCCCTCTTTTTTGTGTCCCCCTTCCCCTTCTTCTCTTTTTGTCCCCCCTTCCCCTTATTTTCTATTTGCCTGCTGACCTTGTTACAGGAGGACTGAGGGAAGGGGAGGAGCTAACTACCATGCTCCCTCATGGTTCCCATAATTCCCAGCAATGAGTCTATGATGTGTAGATGCTGGGAATTATGGGAAACGCAAGGGAGCATGGTAGTTAGCTCCGCCCCCTCCCTCAGTCCTCCTGTGCTGACAGCTATGCTGCTGTCAGTATCAGTGAGTGTGCTGCTGGACCAGTTAGGCGGCCGCCCGGCACACTCACTGATACTGGCAGTAGTCACACTGCACAGGAGATGGGGCTGCCGGACCGGCCACCCGGCGGCACCGACATGCAGCCGCGATATCATTAAAATATAGGGAGCATGGCTCCCTCTCTATCTCCAGCCCCCCAGGTGTCGCGGCCCACAGGGAAATTTTGCGGTATGCCGGTGGGCCAGTCCGGCCCTGAATGTACCCCATCTTTGGCAATTATTACCCCCCCACAACTAACACCTGTTAGAGGTCCTACTCTAACAGGTGTTGGTTGTGGGGGGGTAATAATTGGGCAATTATTTTTTCAACCATTTTCCAATATGGGCGGATAACATTACATGTCCACCATATATGGCACATCAAGCCTAATTCAGATTTACATCTCCAGCACTTGTTGATCTGTGATAATTTCATTGGGACTAGATACCACCTGTACTGTATTTTCTAAATGAGTTCAAGATGTGTAGTACATGTTGTATTACCTTTGTGAATTGGGAATGCTCGGTTTCACTAACTTGTGGGGAAAGTGAAGCCGATGTTATTGGCGATGTCATCTGCTTCACTTTATTAATTTTTCGGTTTGTGCTGTATAATTCACAAGCAGCAGCACGTATATGGTCGTGAGGATTTTCTTTTGTGGGTTTCCTGTCAGACATAGTAGGTCATATTTGGATAGGGTGGGAGTCGTGAGCTGGCGTGTTGTCAACTGCAGGAGGGACTTGATCTGCAAATACGAAAAAATAGCTCTCTGTGAGAGTTTAAACTGTGTCTGTAGCTCTGGGAATTGTTTTAAGGTCGTCCCGTGGTATAGATGGTGGACATGTGGACATTCCCTTGTCATCCATGTGAAGTAATCAAAGGTTGGGTTTCTTAGATATATGCTATATAATGGTGTGGCCAATGATATGTCGTTGAGCCAGCCGATGTAAGTATGAGATATGTCCCATGTGTTCAGCAATAGTGTTGTTGGTTCTAACATGTGTGGTGAATCAGGTCTCAATTGTTTCAGTGTCCAAAATAGAAAATGTAGCCCAGCTTTGCAGGACCAGTAGGATTCTATGGCCACCCATTGGGGTGTGGATGTTGTTATGTGTGCTGTTACTACTCTGGAGAGTATTGCAGCCTTGTAGTATAATTTTACATCCGGGAGGTTTAACCCACCCACTGAAATAGGTTTCTTAAGAATATGCATAGCAACCTTGACTTTTTTGTTTGCCCATCCATATATTATTATGTCCTTCTGTAGCTTTGCCAAGTATTGTTTAGGAAGAGAGATTTGAAGGGTCCTGAGTAAATGTTGAAATTTTGGGAGTAAGGATATTTTGATGTGATTCGCCCATGCCAGGATAGGAAGTCCGTCTCCCAAGATTGGAACGTTTAGGTGAACTCATGGTGGAGTTTCTCTTAATTACATGTGAATAGTTGGTGTGTCGATTTAGTAATTTGGATGCCTAAGAAGGTGACAAAGTCCTCACTCCAATCAAAGCTGAAGGAAGACTTCAGTGGTTCCATGATATGTGTAAGTTTATCTTTGTTAAGTTGAGTTTGTAATAAGATACTCTATCACAGTCTTGTATGCATTGTAATAGGTTGGGTAATGAAATTTGTGGTTGCGTCAGTGTTAGAAGTATGTCGTCAGCAAAGAGATTTAGTGTGTATTTTTTGTCTCCTACTTGTACTCCATGTATGGAAGGGTTTGCTTGGATTGTCGCTGCCAAGGATTCTACCACCATCACATAGAGGAGAGGTGACAGGGGACAGCCCTGTCAGTTACCATTTGTAACCAAGAATTTGTCAAAGACAAATCCAGAGTTTAATACTTGTGCAGCCGGTGCTATATATAAGGCCCTGACCACCAAGATAAAACCCTCGGGGAGTTCAAACTTATGAAGAACAGCCTCTAAGAACCCCCATCCCAGGCACTCTGCATCATGGGACAGCAGCAGCCCTCCTTTTCAATAATTTTGTGTAGAAAGTTTCTCTGGTTGCTGTTAGGTGCATACAAATATGTGATGGTATACAGGACATTGTTAAAGCGTCCCACAAATATTACGTATCTGCCCTCTTGGTCTATATCTTCTAGTAGCCACCACGGTGTTCCCCCTTTATCAATCAATTGTTAAAAGTATAACTCTACTCCCACTACTCCCAGGAGACTGTACGCACATGGAAGTGAGGAAAGAGGATTGTATTGCATTAGGAGGCGCCCGGTAAGGCTTTATGGTATGGCGTGTACCTTAATTTGAGTTACAAATGATGGGGATTGGCTTACAGACCATAACTATGAACATCAACATTTGTGCAGCTAATCAACTATTGCAGCTTATACTTGCAAACTCAGAGTGCAATGTGGCAATGCTCCATGGAATGTTCGTTTTTTGCGCGCTTTCTTCCATTCTTGTTGCAGACAGACATTGGTTTGTGTCTCTGCTTGCTTCTCTGGCACGGTGATCCCTCATTCTATTAGCAGACATAGGCCATCCTCAGGGGTATTGAGAGTGTTGATTGCTCCATTATGCTGTACCAGAAGCTTGGTTGGGTTCCTCCACCTGTATGCCATGTTATTTTCCCAAAGCAGTTCAGTAACTGCAGTGAAGGTTTTCCTCTTTTCAAGCATGGTGGCGGAGATGTCCGCAAAGATCTTAATTTTCTAATAGGTAGGGGGTAAGACCTTTTCATCCTGCTTGTTTTGAGGATCAGCTCCTTGGTGTCGTAGTAGTGCATTTTTAGTAAAATGTCTCTGGGTATGTCGTTGGGTAAAATATAAACAAAAAAGCACAATTCAAAAATTGAAAAGATAAAAATATATCATAAAAGTAAATGCTGCTCGACACATGAAAGGTGATTCCTACTGACCTTAAGAACGAGATTTTGTAGAAAGTGTCAGCGCTTCAGAAAGTCTTGCCCTTAATTGTTAAAAAAGTAAAAATTGATGATCTAAAACCATATGCTCTTGTAGGTATAATATTGATACACTTACACAGTAGTAAATATGCCTTGGAAAAACAAATTCACTGTATGACTGATGTCATCGTCAGGAATTTTTTAAGAAAAATCATAGTGAATTAAATCCTATATGGAATGAGGAATTTAATATTGAATCTTCTGACATCATTCATTCCAATTTAAAAAAAAAATCTAATTTTTATCCCTCTTTTTTAATATCAAATAACATAAAAGTGTTCGAACGAGCTGTGTTGGAGGGTATATACAATATAAAACCTCTTTAAAAATGTAGGCAAAACTTATCACATAAAGAAAAGGAAACAATAAATCTTTTAAAAGATGACCCCTTAATTATTATCAAACAGATAAGGGGGAAGGAGTTTTTTTTTTTTTTTAGATAAAGATAAATATTTGGGAGGAATAAAAAGACAATTAGATGATGAAACTACATATAAAAAACTTAAGAAAGACTCTACTAATGATTTAAAAAAATATTTAAAAAATATTTTTGGAAAAAGGTTTAGAAAGTAATATTCTTAATGAAAGTGAATTCTCTTTTTTATTTGTGGAACACCCCAAGATCCCAGTTATATACATCTTGGCCAAAGATACATAAAGATCCTAATAACCCCCCGGGCCATCCAATAGTACCTGGAATTAATTTAATTTTATCTTGCCTGTCCCAATATATTGACTTCCATCTACAACCTCTGGTGAAGACATGTCCTTCTTTCCTACAGGACTCCATGTGCCTCTTAAATATTTTAAATAATTTTAAATGGAATGAAGAGTATCTTTTTAATTACATGTGATGTCACCAGTCTTTATACAATTATAGAACACCAAAAAGGCTGTGAGGCTGTTAAATTTATCTAGATGTGTCTAAGAAATATAAGGATATACAAACGGCTTATATTCTAGAGGGTATCAAAATGATTTTAAATAATAATTATTTTTGGTTCGAAGAAGACTTCTTTTTACAGATAAAAGGTACTGATAAGGGGACCAAGTTTGCACCAAGCTATGCCAATCTTTTTATGGCATACTGGGAAAAATATTTTATTTATCAAGAACATGGCTTTGGCACAAACTGGGTCCAATATAAAAGATACATAGATTATATTTTTATTATCTGAAAGAATGTAGGGACTCTTTTAACAATTTTTAAAACATTTGACTTTTAACATAATTTATTTTAATTTTTTTAAATGATAATGTTTGCATTTCTCTCACTAAGAGTGTAAGCGATCAGAGCATAGATTTTTTTAGTTATGTTTATTATTATGACTCGTACTTTTTTTAAACATGTCGATGTGAACAGCTACATTGAACTAGACAGCTGTCACCATCGTCCCTGGTTGACAAATATATCTAGTGGACAGTTCCTGAGAATCCGCAGGAACTGTATGACCCAGGGAGATTTTATTACACAATCCCCTGCTCTAAAAAAAGAATTTGAACAAAAAGTATATAATAGTGATAAGTTACAAAACAATATAGATGCAGTTCCTGATTTAGAAAGATCCCCTTTACTTAAATATAAAAATAAAGAAAAAAGTACAGATAAGAAAACAGAAAATGATCAAATTCCTCATATTTTTAATTTTTCTAATAATGTGGGCATGATTAGGAAAATAATTAACAAAAACTGACACTTCCTCCAACAAGAGGATGATGTAGCTGAATACATAGGTCAAAAACCAAAATTTATTTTTTGAGGTGCAAAAAATCTTAAATTTTAACCAAAAGTTTTGTGAAAAATGAACAACACAATTTTTTTTTTAACAGACTGGTCAAATGAACATAAAGGTTTTTATCATTGTGGGATGTGCAATGCATGCCTTAATACAAGAATATCCAATAAAAATGTTCTTTCTTTTAGTTCAGTTGTCACTGAAAAAGAATACAAAATTAAATCATTAATTACATGTCACTCCAACAATGTTAATCTTCTGTGGTGTAC